AATATTAATGATCGGCTATTTATAGCCACCCAAAACGAGTATTATTGTAACCGCTCCGATCTCCGGTTGTCTGCCGTCGTTGTAAAATTTGTCGCCGTTGTTAGGCGTCGGAAGAGGTTTACAGCGATGTCTATCTCATATGTGCTGTTCAGAGAATACCTTGTTTTCGACATGATGATCGGGCTCTGCGTGGACTTTGTGCCGCGTCTTGTTGTCTTCGAACCGTACGATATGTTTTTGGCTTAAGTTCAGACGGTTTGATAAGGCCGGATGTTACGAAAAGTGAGAAAAAAGCGACAGACGAAAATATCAGTCTGGCCGAAAAAGAATTACCCTCGTCGCAGCATCGAAATCGCACCCTCGAAAATGAGCGGCACCGAAAGTTTGAGCGATGCATCGCAAAAGTGCGCGCGATTTCGAAAAATCGCTGAATTTGTGGGATTGCACAGTGCAAAAAGCCGTTTGCACTGTGCAAAACCCACTTTTATCGCTGGCGATGCGTCGTTTTTGCTCTTTCTTTCGGCGACGCCCTCCAAATTTGAAATTGGGGTTTGGACTGAGTGCGACGGAGGGGGGCGCGGAGGACAATTCTTTTTCGGCCAGACTGATACTGGTATTTTCATAAAGTGCATGGACACTTGTCGCGAAATTTCTGCGGTTCCTGTTAAGCGTTTTATCCACTTACACCACTATTGAAGGTACTGTAAACTCAAAAAAATCATCTAGAAATTATCTGACTGCCCAAGAAAGGCTTGGCGTCATTTACTTACTCATTTACCCCTAGCTTCGATAAGATCTGAGTTTCTTGTTGAACAAAGTCCAACCTACTGTTTTTCTTCTGCCAAATTGATTAGTCATGAGGTGTAGTCTGTTCCGGGCCCATTTTGACCGGCCCCTGCCTTCGAAACGCCCTCTGGCCGTGATGTCTCGCTCTTTGCGTCATTATGAAACAGGGTTTTGATCTTTTTCATCCCTCTTCCTCCTTGTCTCATGACCTTTTGGTGTTTTGTTTCGCCTGACAAGTGTCGGACATACGACTCGAACGGCTGGTACTTTGAACACCGATCTAATCTTTAGCGCTGATTTTTTGTTTATAAGACTGGAGTCGGGCTCTGATACGGAGCTGATGTTTAGTCCGTTGTGTTGTGTAGGTGATCGGGAAGTTGGATTAGGAGACCAGAATATTGTAAATGGTTCTAGAAGTTTCTGGGGCAGTACAGTGGCGGACCTGAACCATTGGCAAAAAACGTACCATTTTGCATCCGAGAAGTATCAAAAAATGTAGCAAAATACCTCCCCCTCCAGGTGAAAAGACTCCGCCCTTCAAAACTGAGTTTTTTCACTTGGAGAGGGAGATATTTTGTTACATTTTTGATACTTCCCGAATGCAAAATGGTACGTTTTTTGCCACTGGATCAGGTCCGTCACTGTAATTCGCTGAGGATTAGAGATTTCAGACGTTTCATCGGTTTTTGGGAAGAGTTCAGGCCTGGTTAAGGCTACTATGCCCTGGTAATTTCTTTATTTTTCTGGTAAATTCGATATCCCGGCGCACAGCGTTCCGAACATTTTTTCCGCCGCCGATCGGTGTCGAAAAAAGGAAAAAATGAAAAGTAGTGCTTACAAGTCGGTGTATATTTGGCTAGCCACAATAGATGTAACTAAACTAAAAAGTGGCTATTAGACTATAAGAGATTGCCATTCCACGTGTACAAACTGCATCATCATACCTTATGTTAATGTTGAGAAAATGATGATCGAAAATTATCAAAAATTCAACCTTCAGGTAAAAATAAGAGTACCTTCCAACCCTTAAGCACACAATTTTTTTTCTTCCATCGTGTGCAGAATTTCAAGAGCTACAACATAGACAGATTCAATAATTTTCCCGGGCCTTTAATCTTAGTTATGGTTGAAAAGGGCCTAATTTTGGCCGTTTTTTGCACTTTTTTTTACTTATTTGCACCCTAAGAACAAAAAGTGAAGATATTCTATATAAAACGGATTGCCATGATCATTGTGGTCATCCATGCCAAATTTCAACTTTTTCTGACACTCCAGAGTCGTTGAATACGAACGTCAACATGGAAACTTCGTATCTTCAACTTTGTAAGAAAACAGTAATGAAATCCTTGGCTGGCATTAATTACAGCACTTCTGGTCGCAATGAATCTTAGGTCGCGATTACAAAGGCCAAACTCAGCTTTACGGGTAATTTCAGTAAGTGTTTGCAAGCTCACACTTTGGCATTGGTCAGAATTGTCTGTTGAATTCAACTTTCAAAATGAAAAAGATATATTTTGGCTTGATGACAAAAAGTTTGCACAGAGTGTATGTATACAACATATTTTCGCTCAAGAAGTGATTTTGGAGCACTTAACGTGATTTTATTCAACAGAAATAGTACACTTGGGTTCCATATTCAAGTTCGTATTCAACGACTCTGGAGTGTCAGAAAAAGTTGAAATTTGGCATGGATGACCACAATGATCATGACAATCCGTTTTATATAGAATATCTTCACTTTTTATTCTTAAGGTGCAAATAAGTAAAAAAAAAGTGCAAAAAACGGCCAAAATTAGGCCCTTTTCAACCATAACTAAGATTAAAGGCCCGGGAAAATTATTGAATCTGTCTATGTTGTAGCTCTTGAAATTCTGCACACGATGGAAGAAAAAAAATTGTGTGCTTAAAGGTTGGAAGGTACTCTTATTTTTACCTGAAGGTTGAATTTTTGATAATTTTCGATCATCATTTTCTCAACATTAACATAAGGTATGATGATGTAGTTTGTATACGTGGAATGGCAATCTCTTATAGTCTAATAACCACTTTTTAGTTTAGTTACATCTATTGTGGCTAGCCAAATATACACCGACTTGTAAGCACTACTTTTCATTTTTTCCTTTTTTCGACACCGATCGGCGGCGGAAAAAATGTTCGGAACGCTGTGCGGCGGGGTATTTTCTGCTTTATAACGCCTTTTGTTGGCCCTTGAATGTCCAATGATCCGCCCTTGTTCTTCAAGTCTTCGTCCAGCCGAAATTTTTTGAACACTTGTTCTTCCTTGGCTCGATATAGTCAAAGAAGACTAAAACGCGTTTTATTACAAATCGTAGATTGGCCCGGACATTGTTGAGTCGATGTCTCAGAATTAAACCAAAATTGGTCAACTTGATCGTCATGACAGACAAAACATTCGCTTTCTTTATTTTTGCCCAAAATTACCGTATGACGGCATACTGTAACATTCTTTCTTAAAAAAGATATGCCCTAATCGAGAAAACGAAGCGTTATTTTAACTCAAATCGAGCTCAGTCGTACGTTTTCGACCATGTAGAACATTTTTGTAATTGTCACCAAAAACTAAAAATTACATCTAAGCTATGTTACACATGAGGTAACATACTATTTCGGGTGTAAAATGGGCTACTGTAGCTTGTAGCACTTTTAGATACGCTTAAAAAAAACTTCAACCTTAACCCAATAAACAGTAGAAATTTTAAAAAAATAAAATGCACAACTTTTTGAGATACAGGGATTTCAATCTGTCATGTACAAGGTCATCAGAACCCCGAAAAAAGCTGGCATTCTTGGGATTTCAGGTTGTAGCACTTTTTGATAGCCTCTAATACATTATTAGCCTTGTAAACGATGATGATGAAAATTTCAGGCGAAAAAAATGCACAACCTTCGAGAAAATGACCAAAATAATTTATTTTAGGTCATCAGAACCCCGAAAAAAGCTGGCATTCTTGGGATTTCGGGTTGTAGCACTTTTTGATAGCCTCTAATACATTATTAGCCTTGTAAACGATGATGGTGAAAATTTCAGGCGAAAAAAATACACAACTTTCGAGAAAATGACCAAAATACCTTATTTTAGGTCATCAGAACCCCGAAAAAAGCTGGCATTCTTGGGATTTCGGGTTGTAGCACTTTTTGATAGCCTCTAATACATTATTAGCCTTGTAAACGATGATGATGAAAATTTCAGGCGAAAAAAATGCACAACTTTCGAGAAAATGATCAAAAGACCTTATTTTAGGTCATCAGCATGTTTCGTCCGGGCAATGAAACATCGACTTAACATTCGTTGACTTAACATTCGGATTCTCCCCGGGTCCAATGTCGAAGACGAAGAATAAAATTTTTTAGTCTATGTTTTGACAATATCATAAATTTTCGTCACTTTTTTCGGGTGACCTAAAATAAGGTATTTTGGTCATTTTCTCGAAAGTTGTGCATTTTTTCGCCTGAAATTTTCACCATCATCGTTTGCAAGGCTAATAATGTATTAGAAGCTATCAAAAAGTGCTACAACCCGAAATCCCAAGAATGCCAGCTTTTTTCGGGGTTCTGATGACCTAAAATAAGGTATTTTGATCATTTTCTCGAAAGTTGTGCATTTTTTTCGCCTGAAATTTTCACCATCATCGTTTACAAGGCTAATAATGTATTAGAGGCTATCAAAAAGTGCTACAACCCGAAATCCCAAGAATGCCAGCTTTTTTCGGGGTTCTGATGACCTAAAATAAGGTCTTTTGATCATTTTCTCGAAAGTTGTGCATTTGTTTCGCCTGAAATTTTCACCATCATCGTTTACAAGGCTAATAATGTATTAGAGGCTATCAAAAAGTGCTACAACCTGAAATCCCAAGAATGCCAGCTTTTTTCGGGGTTCTGATGACCTTGTACATGACAGATTGAAATCCCTGTATCTCAAAAGTTGTGCATTTTATTTTTTTAAAATTTCTACTGTTTATTGGGTTAAGGTTGAAGTTTTTTTAAGCGTATCTAAAAGTGCTACAAGCTACAGTAGCCCATTTTACACCCGAAATAGTATGTTACCTCATGTGTAACATAGCTTAGATGTAATTTTTAGTTTTTGGTGACAATTACAAAAATGTTCTACATGGTCGAAAACGTACGACTGAGCTCGATTTGAGCTAAAATAACGCTTCGTTTTCTCGATTAGAGCATATCTTTTTTAAGAAAGAATGTTACAGTATGCCGTCATACGGTAATTTTGGGCAAAAATAAAGAAAGCGAATGTTTTGTCTGTCATGACGATCAAGTTGACCAATTTTGGTTTAATTCTGAGACATCGATTTTAACAATGTCCGCCCCCTGTTAGGCTAAGCTCCAAAGTGTGGCAAAACGCGTTCTAAATATCTTCTTTTGACTTCCGAAGAGACTGTAGTTTCCAAGTTAGACCCGATTTTTGTTTAGGTCTCTTATTGTTTTCAACTTTTTTACTACTGATTAGGTCAGTCTTTGTCTCCGAAATTTAGAAGTCATTAGATAAGGGGTTGATCAGCACTTGAAGGAAAATATACTTACTGTAGAAGGTAGTGTAATCACGGAACGGAAGTTTTGGTTTCAACGAAAATTCCGCTAGAACTTGATCTCTTCCATGTCGCAGTGTGCAAAGTTTTTCTGTACACTTTTTGCAATATGTTTACGCTGAGATGTTTAAACAATTGATTGCATAAAACTTCCTGGTCCATATGAATTTTGTATTTTAATTTTGAGAGGATTTTCGCTCTCTTTCGAGAGTATTCCTAACATTGTAGTAGGTGTAAACGTCTGTTTTTGGGATCCGAACAAGGTCGTCGTGATGTCTGAAACCGTTCGCAAAACAACTTTCGGCTCACTTTCGACGACCCCCGAACACAAAAGGGGCGTCTCATCGGATACCAGGGGGCGTCTTCGCGGCAGGGAGGGGCGGGGAATATTAACCTTTGGCTCGCTTCTTATAAAACCATCAAGCGAGGGTGGAATAGGCAGTTGTACCGACCCGTTGTGACATTTATAGAACGGTGATGTCATACGAGGAAGGTTGAAAGGTTTTGAAAAAAAATTTAGGGATTTCAAATAAAAAGTTATATTGTAGTAGGTGAAGGTAAATTTAGAGGAAGTTTGATGGGATTAGAATGCGATTTTGATGGCTCAGGGTAAAACATGCTCATAACCTTAACGTATTAGCTGTATACGTTAGGAATATGGGCTGTAACCGCCTTGGGGTCTTATTTTTGGAATTTTTTGAAAAAACTTCTAAATTTTTAGTCCATTTTTGGAGAAAAAACGAATTTTAGGTGTGTTTTTATGGGATAAAATTTAGTTTATGGACTACGTATTGTGTGAAATTCAATTTTACACATTTTCCATCGCGATTTGCTTTGATTTCCCCCTTTAACATCCTCTAAAATACGTTTCTTCCAGATCATCATCCCAAATTTTTCTGGATTTTCAAAATCCACCGCTCGACGCCCCGCGCTACAGCCTGACATACACGTGCCGTCTGTAGCCGAGGTCCTCGAGCTGCCTTAACTCCCACTTCTATCCGGAACAGGTACCCCCACCGCCTGTGACAATAACCCCCAAACAGAACCCCCGCGTTCCACGCATCGCCGACCAAGGCGCGGACCCGCGGTCCACCAAACAGCCGAGAGCGGCCGCCTTCGCCCGTCTGGCGCAGCACCGGTTCAACGGCGCCCACCGCACCTCGAGACCACCTTTATTACGCAGCCTGATCGAGCCCCATTGATTGAAGTCTAGTGTAATATAAAATTCGAAATGGAATTCATGAACGACCCCCTCTCGGACTCGTACACCCCATCCACCGGGTCCTCGATGTGCTCTCTCAGCTCCAGCAAGTCGGAAAATGTATTTTTCGCCAACATCATGCCGGATCTCAAAATGTACGAAGAACCGGAACCGGCCACGCCGACTACTATTCAGGTGAGTCCTAGAGAGTCTATTTGGCAGATTAGGAATGTTTGGATATCAGATTGAGACTTTGAACCTTGGTTTTCCCCAAAAAATCAGATTTATCACCTAGTGTAATATAAAGTTTTCCGAAAATAGTTTGGGTTTTGGTTTGGAAAGTTGCTTCATGACGTATTGAGTTCAAATTTATCAATTTCCGCCCGCGGTTTGGATGTAATAATGCATTGTTAGCAGTTTAGCAAGTGTAATATAAATTTCTAAATGTTGTAATTTTTTTGAAAATCTGTCTAGGATAGAGAGAATGGAAGCTGAAGATAGACGGAAAACATTTTTGAAGGCTAGAAACTTCCAGAATTTGAGTACTGACGATTTCTTCTTGGTCTAGTGCAATATAATTTTTTCTGTTTTTAGAGAAATTTATGTCTGGATGCCACCTCAGACATGAATGTGGACCTCACAGATGATGAAAGTGACTCACCCACGAAGAAGGAGAATCCAGCCAAGAAGATTTGCCTCTGCGCCATCTCAAATAACAACGAGACTCAAGAAGCGGCTCGACCTCAGCCGAAAAAAGCCAGCGAACTCCCGGATGTGCCCTACAAGTCCACATCAATCACTGACGAGTACAGAATCAGCCACGAAATTATTGGAATCGGCGAGTCGGGAAAGGTTATGGCTTGCTATCGCAAAACTGATGGTCAGAAATACGCCTTGAAGGTTTTGAGGGATGGACCCAAGTCCAGAAGAGAAGTGCAGCTTCATTACATGACGAAGTAGGTGATTTGCAGATTTTTTTGGGATTTTTAGGGAGTTTCGAGGCTATTTTTGGCAAAAAAATGAGGATTTTATATTATTTTAGGTAAAAGTTATGTGTTTTTTTGAAATTTTATAAATTTTTGGTCTTATTTTTGGAATTTGCAGTCAAAATCTGAATTCATTCATATTTTTGAGGATTTGAGGGGCTTTCGAGGCTATTTTTGGCAAAAAATGAGGGTTTTATATTATTTTAGGTAAAACTTGGTATTTTTTTGAAATTTGACAAATTTTTGCTATAATTTCGGAATTTTTCAGTCAACACCCGAACATAGTCACCATTCACGATGTTTTCGAGAACGCCTTTGACGGCGTGCGTTGTTTGTTGGTGGTGATCGAGTTCCTGGAAGCGGGCGACCTCCTCACCCAATTCGAAAGCCAAGGATCCCAGCCCTACTCGGAGCAACGAGTTGCCGAGATTGTCCGCCAAATCGGCTCCGCCGTCCAATATCTCCATTCCATGAACATTGCGCATCGCGACATCAAGTTGGAAAACATTTTGTGCTCCTCCACCGATCATGAACAATGTGTTTATAAGCTGGCGGACTTTGGTTTTGCCAAGCGCCCCGAACGCAATCACCTCATGGAGTCTCCCTGCTGCACCCCCATCTACGTGGCACCCGAGATTTTGTCCCACGAGCACTACGACAAGAGCTGTGACATGTGGTCGCTTGGAGTGGTGATGTACATTTTGTTGTGTGGATATCCCCCCTTCTACTCGATGAAAGGGCTCCCATTGTCGCCGGGAATGAGAAGTAGAATCACCAGTGGGCTGTATGCGTTCCCTCCAGAGGAATGGGACCACATTTCGCAGGATGGTAAGGATTTTTCGAAATTTTTTGGGGATTTTTGGGTTTTTTTGAATTTTTGGAAGTTTTAAGGCGATTTTAACTAAAGAAATGGGTCTAGAATGGATTATTATGACCTATTAAAGGTGGATTTTGTATTTTTGAGTTCTAAAATACGAATTTCTATTTTTTTTTTTTTTGAAAACATGATTTTTTGGGATTTTTTTAAAAATTTTTGATATTTGAGTATTTTTTGATGAGTAAAATTATGTCTAAATTAGAGATTATGAAATTTGGAAGAGTATTTTTTGCATTTCAAGTCTTTTCAACCTCTAATTTATCAATTTTCAGCCAAAAATGTGATCCGAAACCTCCTGAAAACGGACCCGGCCAGCCGAACCAAGATCGACGGCCTCATGAACTCAGCCTTCATGGTGGGATCGCTGAAGAAGAACCTCTCCTCGGACTCGCTGAAGAGCCTGGAAAGCCCGGCGTCCTCGGATTCGGGCTGCGCCGACGAATCGGACGAGCCCTCGAGCCCCGAAACTCCCGATGCCCTCGCCGAATTAAACATCTCGAAGCCGGTCCGCAAGAACGCCGCCCGCCTCATGAACCCGCATGCCATGTCGGCCAGAGCCCACAATCGCCCAGCCAAAACGCCCCGCCTCTACAGCATCCAGGAGGAAGTGGGCCGCGCGTTGGACATGATGAGAATCCAGGAAAACGTCCCCGTAATGATGACCCTCCCCAAAGCCAACAACTCGCTGTACGAAAGAAGAATGAAGAGCAAACGCAACCTCACCAAATCCTTCTTACAGTCGTCGGAACCCACAGATTAGAGCTTTCAATTATACGGATAGTCTTTGAAGTTTTTTTTAACCGAAAATCTTGGGATTTTTGGCGATTTTGAAGAAGTTTGTAAATATTTATGACTGAAATTGATGTCTAGAATATTTTTTGCATGTAAAAAGCCGGAATTTTTGTTGTTTTAGAAGATTAGACGATTTTAAATGTCATTTCCGAAAATTGAACGAAGTGTCAAAAAATTTTGACATTTCGTCCACATCCCGTTTTTACAGTAGATTGTCCTCAAATTGTAGTTTTAGTATTGTTAGAGTGACAATTACACTGTATTTATGACTTTTGGAATATGAACGAAATGTCAAAAATTTGTGACATTTCGTCCACATTCAAATTCTTGGCCCATTATTGGCCAAATGTACAAATGATTGTGTCTGAATGTCTATTACATCCCACATAAGCAATTTGATCCAGATTTACCTTGTTTTAGACAGTAAATTTTCCAATTTTCTAGAATTTTCCACCTTTTTCGCCGTTTCCCTTCATTCTTCATTTTTACTGCCCGTCACTAACCAGATTGTTTATCAGTAGTGTTTAGAGTTCACGTCTCATCTTGTGATTCCACATTTTTTATCGTTTTTTTAAATTATTTTTACACCATAACTTGACGATGTTTGTTTTAACGCACACTTTCTGAGTAGTGATTTGTAACAAATCATAAATGGCTATGATATCATATGGACATTTATTCGCAAACATAACAATTATTGGGCTAAATACGAGAGAGTGCTAGGCCAACTTACTGAGGCCGATGAGAATTGCGCCGGTCAACGTGCACGTAATGGCGGCGTAGAGGTAGCGAAGGTTTTTTCCGAGCTGAAAAGTTGAGTAAGACAAAATAATTGAAACAGAATTTTGGGCTGGAAAAACCCCTACAGTGACGGACTTGATCCAGTGGCAAAAAAAGGATCATTTTGTATCCGGGAAGTATCAAAAAATGCAGCAAAATACCTCCATCTTCAAGCGAAAAAACTCCAATTTCAGTGAGGGAAATGGCGCGTCCTTCAAAACGGAGTTTTTTCACTTGGAGAGGGAGGCATTTTGCCACATTTTTTGATACTTCCCGGATGCAAAATGGTACTTTTTTGCCACTGGATCAGCTCCGTCACTGTACAAGAACTAATTTTTTTGTGGTCGATTTATCGCCAAAGTTCGGAGATTTTTTTTTTGAAATTTTTTCCCACATGTTAAACTCACTTCAATCTCCTTGAAATACAACAAACTCCACAACGTCGCCACACACCCCGGCACCATGGAGGTGATGGGCCCCGTAACCGCTTGTGACAACCGTTCCGTGGCTATAATACTCATGGTTTGCGCAATTCCCCACATAAAACCGGTCAGCATTGATGGGAGAATGAGTTGAGGGCTCACGTATGGCTTGTTTTTTCTGCAAATTTGGAATTGTTTATGGAAGGATGAGAGAAAATTTATGATTTTTTTGGTAAAATATTTTTTGCACAGAGCAAATTTTTAGGCCAATTTTTATTTTTGCACAGTGCGGAAAAAATTCCTTTTTCTTGCACAGTGCGAAAGAAATTTTTGTTTTTGTACAGTGCCAAAGATAAATTACTTTTTTCTCGCACCGTGCAAAAGGAAAAATTCTTTTGTTCTCGCACAGTGCGAAAGAAAAGTTTCTTCATTTTCGCTCACAGGGGAAGTACCCCAAGTGCGACGCTCAGATTTCGATGAAACTTGGCACAAATTTAGAATAGTTTTTTCTAAGATATATGCGAGAATCTTAGCTCGCGCTTTGCAGAAACAACCGAGATTTTTAGTCCGAAAGTCGGCGAAAATTTGACACTTTTTGCAGAACTTCGACACGAAAAGTTTCATGCTTATTCCTATTGTAATGGGTAATGCTTCCACAAAAAATGATTTTTTTCCTTACGAAACTAGCGAAGTTATGGCCAAAAAGTGTTTTTCTCTCTGACCGCTCTCCGCGATTAGCATGCTCTCTCGGCGGCAAAGATCGTCCAATATCTCGGCGGCGCTTGCAAAGCGCGAGCTAAAACTTTCAGGAATTGATACTTAGTCCATGCCCGACGTGTGTGCAAAATTTAAAGAAAATCTGAGCGTCGCACTTGGGGTACTTCCCTTGTCAGTTCAAAACAAAAAATTTATTTTTTCTTGCACAGTGCGAAAGAAAAAATTTCTTTTTTCTTGCACAGTGCGAAAGAAAAGTTTGCTTCATTTTCGCACAGTGCAAAAGAAAAATCGCTTTTTTCTTGCACAGTGCAGTGAATTTTTTGTTCGGACCTGAATTATGTAGTAAAAAAATTATCACGGTCTTGATTTGCACATAACAAAAGTGTGATTAAACATCGCTGAGTGCAAAATTCATAGCATAAATTTGATGGCACAGTGCTGAAAAAATATTCAAGCTTTTTGCACCGTGCAGGATTTTTGATCAAAAAATTGCACTGTGCAATGAAATAAAAGATGTTTTTTTTATCGCACGGTGCGATTTTTTGCCAAAATCTTTGATGCACTGTGCAAGAACATTAAATTTTTTATTTGCACGGTGCAAAAAAGTTTTTTTGAAAATCGCATAGTGCATAAACAATAATTTTAAAAATTTTTTTAAAATACGTCCGGCCCACTCCATGAGGACTCCGCGTTGCCTCGAAAAATTACTAAACTCACTTTACAGCAGAGTAAATCAGCATTGAGAGTGTGGAGGTCAACAAAATGCCGCAATAAATCGAAAACACATACGGCATCCCACCAACTTCGACGTTGTGGAATGTCTTGGGATGGTCTTGAATGGCGACAACGGGGACAATAGTCATCGCCGCAAGGCATCCCTGGACTAACGACGCGATCATGGCACTGAAATACGATTTTTTGGTTTTTTTCGAAATTTTCGAGGGTATAATGGGATAAAAATTTTAAAAAATATTTTGCTTACATAATCTTCTTTTTGTGGTTCACAGCGTAAAATTTCGTCTCATGAGCGGGGTCCGGGATGCTCAGAGATAATCGCTGAACAACGGCTGGTTTGGATTTCGGAGGAGTGTCTTCTGGCTGAAAAGTGATAAAGGAATAACTAACAAGGGAAATGCGCCAAGTGCGACGCTCAGATTTTGATGAAACTTGGCACAAATTTAGAGCAATTCATTCCAAGACATAAACGAGACTCCTAACTTCCGTTTTTCGAAAATGACCGAGATTTTTACTATACCGAAAGTTGGAAAAAGTATGACACTTTTTTCGCAAATTTTGACATGAAAGTTTCATGCCGATTTCTACCGTAGATGATAATATTCCTACAAAAAATCAATTTTTTCCGCCAAAAACTAAAAAGGTTATGGCCAAAAGATGTTTTTCTCTCTGACCGCTCTACGCGTTTTGCGAACTCTCTCGGCCGCAAAGATCGTTGAATATCTCGGCTTCCCTTGAAATAAAGACACTTTTTTTCGTTTAGCAACAAAGTTCAGATATACAAACACTTGTCGGAGGCTATTATATTAGCATTTTCATAAAGTGCATGGACTTTTAATCCGGCAAGAAAAAAAGTTGAACTGCACAATGCATGTGATTTTTCAAACAAAATCGCTGCGACACAACATTTTTTCCATTGCGCCATAGCGAAATTTGAGACAAGCTAAAAAAGATATGCCGGTAATTGCTATGTCCATTCCTTACATGAAATTCAATGCCTAGATGTCATATTCAATATTTGACGGAGGCTTCGGAGGTCGTTAAATTACTTTTATGTCCAACGTTAACAAAAGTTTTTGGGTTGGTTGCAAATTTACACCTGATCCAGTGGCAAAAAATGTATCAGTTTGCATCCGGGAACTATCAAAAATGTGGCAAAATGCTTCCCTTTCCAAGTGAAAAAACTTCGTTTTGAAGGACGCGCCATTTCCCTCACTGAAATCGGAGTTTTTTCGCTTGAAGAGGGAGGCATTTTGCTGCATTTTTTGATACTTCCCGGATACAAAATGATCCTTTTTTTGCCACTGGATCAAGTCCGTCACGGCTTTTCCAGCCTAAATTTCTTTTTCAATTGTTTTGTTTTACTCAACGATTTCAAAAGCGCGCCCGCTCTTTTCATTAGGGAAAGGGCGCGCCCTTCAAGACGAAGTTTTTTCACCTTGGAGAGGGAAGCATTTTGCCACATTTTTTATGCTTCCCGGGTGCAAAAATGGCACGTTTTTTTCCACTGGATCGGGTCCTTCACTGTAATTTAACAAAGCCCCTGCTAGTTTTTTCGACTCTACTTACATGAACTTCATTGGTCAACGGTTTGTGGTCCAGCATCTCCGAGGGTTTTCCTTTGACGAACGAGGTCAAAACACCACTGAAACAAAAGGTTAAAAGATTACTGCATTATAAAAAGATCTCTTCAACAGCTTTTTCAAACCCCCCTAAAAACTCCCCTTACCCAGCCAACACAATCACCATGCCCAACAAACTGAGCCACATCATGTCGGCGGGCCGCGCCTTTGTCCCCAACAGGCCAAAAGTTCCAACGCCGAAGGCGATCACACATTGTGTGACACTGTTCAGCAGGACGGCTTGGCCCAATCCAATGGCCCCAATGATTGGGATGGACATTAGGTTCGCGATCGCCCATGCGATTCCGCCGAGCATGGCGAGCGGGTAGAAGTTTTGATAGCCGGTCCAAATGAACATCCCAAACCCCACGAACCAAATCGCTATGCACATCATCCATTGTGCAAACATGCCTGTAAAACGTCGAGATTTTTTGTTGAAATTGTAAATTACGCTTCGCAGAAATCATAGAGATTTTTGGATTGGAATTTGGCCAAAATTTGAACTTTGTTGTGAATTTTGGCATGAAGAGTTTCCTTGCATGTTTCTACTGACAGGGGAAGTACTCCAAGTGCGACACTCAGATTTTCTTTAAATTTTGCACACACGCCGGGTATGGACTAAATATAAATTCCTGAAAGTTTTAGCTCGCGCTTTGCGGGCGCCGCCGAGATATCGAACGATTTTTGCCGCCGAGAGAGCACGCTAAACGTGGAGAGCGGTTGGAGAGAAAAACGCTTTTTGGCCATAACTTTGGCAGGTTCGTGCGGAAAAATTTGATTTTTTGTAGAAACATTAACCTTTACGATAGAAATATGCATGAAACTTTTCATGCCGAGATTCGACAAAAAGTCCTAAATTTTGGCCGACTTTCAATCTAAAAATCTCGGTTATTCCTGCAAAGCGCGAGCTAGGGTTCTCGCATATATCTCAGAAAAAAAATATTCTAAGTTTGTGCCAAGTTTCATCAAAATATGAGCGTCGCACTTGGAGTACTTCCCCTGTGAAATGGGTTATGGTTCCATAAAAAATCATTTTTTTCCGGGATAAATTTGCTGTGATATTCGCATTGGGATTGTTGTAAAGAGCGGTAGGACCCTTTGGTGGGATTTGTAGTACCTTCTAGTGACCAGGGCCACGAGAAACGACGAAATGATACATTTTAATTTTGTAAATATTCCAAGTTACAGTAAACTGGGAAAATAAAAAAAAAATTGGTCACACAAGTTCAACAAGAGCACTTACCATCGCCGGGCTGAAACCGGCGCATCGGCACGAACTGCGAGCCGAACAACGCGGACGCGATGAAGCATAGGACCAGCGCAATTAAACTTTGAAACGCCATTGCTCAAGCGGAGAGCATTGAAAAGTGGAGTCAAATGTTCGACGAACATGACTTTTCATAGAGTCGAAGCGCAAAAAATTATTCAAATCCCCGAAGCGTTACATTGAAATTTTGCGATTTTGACTTGGAGGAAGCCCCAAAGCTTGAATTTTTCACGCTTACGCAATACGATTGTCTGGATCAAAACGTTTTCCACGATCCCCTTGCACTCCTGTACGACGCAAAACTGCAGAAAAAATTGAGTTGATTCATTTGAACAAAGTGTCAAAAAAATGTGACATATCGTATACATATTCGTTTTTTGGCGGAATGAGATTTTCGACCCGTAAATATTGGAATATTCGCTTTCATTGATTGCAGCTCCGATTGAAACCTCCAAAAATAACCTTTAAAAATCAGAGATCGCTCCGAAGACACACTGCGATCGTATTCCTCGTGAAACTTGTTGTTTTTTATGCAAATCAGTGGTATTTTTGGAACCGTAGAAAATAAATACGGATCAAATTCCGAACAATCGACTTCCTACCGGTATAAACAAAAGCAATGTTTACAAACCGTAGACGTGCCATTTTTCATCTTCAAATCAATAAAACCGACACCTCACGTCAATCCAGCGCATTTCCTGAATCGCTTAGAGGTTTCGTCCACACACTATCGATCAATATTTTAGATATCAAAATTTACTCGGAAGAATTTTTAGAGAAAAAATTGGTCTTAAAATAAACAAGAATTTAGACGTTATTTTCTAACCAAAAGCTAAGGTTTTTGCTCCGGTGTAGATAGTTACACCATCTAGAACAAATGGTCTCAACACGAAAACAAGGAGGACCAAAAAGCCACGTCAACCAAGCAACACCAGGATTTTGGCTTCAATGTGGATTTTGATTTTGGTGAAAAACGGTTGCTTTGATTTTACCCCTTTGTTTATTTATTATAGTAGTTAGTAGTTTAGGTTAGATATTATTTAGAGTATTATTTCGTTTATGTAAACCGTAGGTAGTTTATTTTACTGTAGTATAAAGTAGCCAGTTATTTCGTCCCTTTTAGGTAGTTATTTTGTCCCTTTTTAGTTAGTTTATTAGTCTCATTGAGTTAGTCTAATTTATCTCCTTTGACTTAGTCTCTGTCTTTTACAATATATTTATTTCGCTTTATTGTATTTTGTCTTGTACGTGTTTAAAGCTGAGAGTATTGTCAATAAACCGGCATCTTTGAATTTATCGGACATCGAATTTTATTGAGAAATCAGGTGAACCAAATAAGTTGGATTAGCCGCTAAAGGAGAATAGAGTCTTGGTGTTTAGCCCACAAAGAAATCCGAAGAATCTACGATATACTCGGCTACGAGCCGATAATCGTTTACATCCAGCTATCCAAGAAAAACACCCGAAAATTTTGCCAAAAATTCTACATGTGACAAAATGCCACATCGATTAAATCTTGGTCAGGAAATTGCTTCATCTACGGTGCACGCCAAACTGAGGAGTCCGGTGACCGGAATAGACTCTTCGTTCTCGGTTTTTTACAGTTCGTCTTGATTTCGCAGAGAAAGAGAGAAAAAAGACACAAAAGCGTACTCTCTTGCCCCAAAAATTCCCCATTTCTTCCCCGACAAAACGTTTTTTCGCGTCTTTTTTTGGCAAATTGCCAATCCATTCACTGGACTGTTTTAGGTTATCTCATTTTCGACGTGCGGTGGAGTTACTAGTTTTCTCTGTGATTGCATTTGTTCGCAATGCATCTGCTCGCAATGCCAGAAAAAAATCGGGATTTGTTGGTGCAGCTTTGCAGACATTATTGCATCATTTATTTTTTTCTGTGAAACATTGCAATGCAGAGAATTTGTTGTGAGTTTTCACCTTCCGTTTGGTTTTCATAAAGGTTTTTTGTGGTTTTCCACAAGGGTGACCTACACTTCCTCACACCTCAGCGCTGGTGTTCGGTAAGTTTTTTTAAATTGCAACTTGTTTTAGAGACACATAACCCCTTAAAAGGACGCGGGTTAATCCATCGTAACCGGGATGGTTTGTGGTTGCAGCCCCATATGTTATCGTTGCGAAAAAGCTTATGTATGACATTACAGCTATTCGTAGTTATCCCGCTGCTTGGAACAGGGCGTAAGTATTATTACGGATATAAGTTTTGCACTCATGCCGTAAAGACGAGAGACTTGAAGACAACTTTCCAAGTCAAAAAAAAGTTCAATTGAAGGTCAGTGCATCTTTTTCATCTTTTCAGAAGTCAACCTGAGCTGTCAAACTCAAGAAAAATGATATGAAAATATTATAGATAATTATACACCTCCCACTAGAGGATGATTGCTCAAAACCATTTGAACAAACGTATACGTAATTGAAGCTTCATCGTCACAATGAGTGTATATATGAGCTTTTTGTTATTATCACTTCACTACGGAAGTATCATCCTGCATCAACATAACAGAGAAAAGTAAAGAAGACAGCGCTGCTTTTCTAGACGAAAGGCCTAAGATGACTATACCCAGAAAGAACCGGGACAATGGCGTGATAAACGGAGCGACATGGCAAGACGAAAGTACATACTGTTTTTTTGGACACACAAACCTCCAGTTATTTGGATATTCACTTGTAAGTTCTGTCATTTTTTGAAGGATTTTATCAAAAATTGCCGCTATACTGTGTATTTAGATCGGACTAAAGCCGTAGACCGAAAACGTTTAGCGTTTGGCGACTTTAGCGTAATGCATGGACAACGATCATTATGGATGTCTCACGAAGCTTGCTCCTAAAGGCTTCGACCAAATTTACGTAATTGAAGATTCATTGTCACTAAGCGTATCAATTTTATGAGCTCTTTGTTAAATGATGAGTTCAGCAGGATGTGTAAGATGTTTTGGATCACTTTTAACAGACAGGACAGAGAATCAGGGACCTGATGATTCTACCCGCTAGACAAGGTGATATACCAACTTCATGCTGCAATTGTCATTATGTCCATCGAAGACACTGTTATTGGAGATCACAATAAGTATTTTTATGCATGACAGAGCTCTCAAACAACTTGGGGAATACAACGGCGATACATTTAGAAGCGGAAGGGGGACGGTTGACCACCGCTCCGAGGAATGGAGACAAATTGGAATAGGAATATGGTTTATCGGCACACACAACAGAGAGCGACCGCTCTCGGGAGAGACGGAACAGAGAAAGAACGCGGTTTGGGATCGAACGAACGCTGCTTTTATGGCGGTTGATACACGTAGATTCGGTTGAAACTTGGATGAGAACCAAACACCTCAACAGGTGATGACTTCTTTTACCAGGAATCCGTAATTGAAGCTTCATTGTGACCGTGAATATACGTGTGCGCCATGTTTATTGCAATGATTTCACTCAATGTCATAAAAGCTTTGGATACCAAGTGAACATACAAAAGATATAAGAAACCTGATGATTCTACTCGATTATGCATGTACCAACTTCATGCTGCAATTGTCATTGGAAATTTAACAGTAAGAATTGTTGGTCCGAACACTCACAACGTCTAGAACTTTCTTTAATTTGAATTTCTCTCTGCTTTATCACTTATATATTATATATTTCTCGCCTTGAGATGCTAAATTTATTTCTGCGCTAGGTAATTCTCTGCGCAGTTACGCAATTGGCGTGCTGTCTCTCGGTAGGGTATAAATACCCACGATTTTCGATTGTAATACTCATTCCAACCATTTAGTGATTTCACCAGTCATTCGACATTGTTCATTTCTAATATTTTGTTATGTATTCTAATATTCTCTCGTTCATATTTCGTAAATCTTCAATCAACTGAATTACCGAGACCCTCTATTTTTTTTATGTTTAGACCAACGTAAGACCATCGACAGTAAGCGTAGTGGCTTTCGGCGACTTTTGCGTAAAGCATAGACAACGATGATCACGGATTTGTCATGAATAAAGGAAAGGAATCAATCGCTTGAAAATAGTGATACCCAAGTGGAGATGAAACTTGCAAAAAACAAAACACCATTCTGCATCATGGAAGTATCAAGAAATGTGGCAAAATACCTCCCTCTCCAAGTGAAAAAGTTGGAGATGGAGGCATTTTGCCATATTTTTCGATAGAATCTCAAATACGCCGTTTTCATGACTTTTTGGATGTGAACGAAGTGTCAAAAAGTGTGACATTTCGTCCACTTTCAAATTCAATAATCAAAATCCTTTCTCTAAAACTCTCCGCAATTATCCAGAGCGCCATTTATTTATTTAGAACCCAAATAAATTACAGTTCCTCATAAACCAAGTCTATTGCGGTTTGCTGACATTCGGATCCGGCGTGGGGAGTGGAGAGGTTGCGGGCGGCGGTGCGGGCGGTGTTTGCGGCTGTAACGGCGGTTGATTGGGATCCGTGCCGGGGAAGCGTTCTTCTTGGTCCAGTTTTCGATTCATTCCGAAAAACGTTCGGGCGCTGTCCAGAATCCGCGATCCGAGTCCCCCTTCTTCGGCCGGAGTGATGGATTGGAGCCGTGTGCCCTCCTCAACGTCGCTGCACACTTTGATTTCGTCGTTTTTGGCCTGAAAAAACGAAATTTGAATTTGCAAAAAAAATTTTTTTTTGTAAAAAACTCAAAATTTCCTACTGTAACCTACCGTATTCACCAAGACTTTTCCCTTCTTCTTCTTGAACCAATCGATGCCTCTTGCCCTCAGGGTGTGTCTGTCTTTCATCTGGCTCTTCTTGTAGTTCCTGGACACACTTTGTAATCGCCCCTTCAAATTTTTTCTTACTCTTTTCGAATCTTCCTGGGATCCCGCGGGGACTCTGAGCTTCTTGCTTCTGAAAATTGAAAGGTAAGAAATTCTGAAAAATTCAGTAACCCAGCGACTTGGCAGTCCTAGACACGAACAATATTCAATTAAAAATTCATATTTTACATCTGCAAAACTTAGGCGTCCAACTAAAAATTTTTGATGACAAAAATGAGTCTCGCAACGAAAACTACCGTAACCCAAAGTCGTTTCGAAAACTGTTTGTAAAGATCAAATATAGTCATTTTATACCTTATTAGAGAATCTCAGAATATTTTCTGACACCATATTTACTTTATACCGTAACTGGCTCGGGTCCCACAACGAAAACCACAGTAACCCAAAATTTCCCGCCAAATCTTAAAAAAAGCTTAATTTTGTCGACCAAAGCGAAATAACAAAGGCATAACGAGATAATTCAGTAAATTTATAACGTTTCAAGTGCTATGGGTCTCGCCACGAAAACTACAGTAACCAAAAATTCCCGCAAAATCCCAATTTTTCGCAAATTTTTCGATCAAACCGAGCAAGCAAAGTAATTTACTCACTTTTTCGTGTTCTTTCTCGTCCTCGTCGACCCAACCTCCTTCACAGATAGAGGATCCTTCCTCACCAAAGTCGAAGGTGGCCCTTGTGGCGCGGTTGAAATAACGGACTGATACTCGGTCCTCTTGGCACTGTCGTCCCTATAGCCCTTGTCCGAGCTCCGCTTGTTCGACTTGTCCGATTGTTCATTTTTGGACAGCAACAGGCGTCGTCTGAACTCCTGAATCCGAAGACATTCCCGTTGACCGATCAGGTACACATCCGACGCAATTGGCGGGTCAATGACGGTAAGGTTGGTCTGGAAAATTAATAATTGGAAGAGAAATTAGAGAAAGGCTGTATCGTTATTTAGATTAAAAAAAAATTCTTGCACAGTGCGAAAAAACAGAATTTTTTCCCCGCACTGTGCAGTCATTTTCATTTTGCACAATCTGCACTGTGCGTTCGACAAATTTTGTCGCAGATTCGCATTGTGTAATCAATAAAAAAAACGCACCGTGAAATCAAAACGAATTTTGCATCGTGCGATCAAAACAATTCTTGCGCTGTGCAATAAAAACAACTTTTGCACCGTGCAATCAAAGCAATTTTTGCACCGTGCGATCACAAAAAATTTTGCACTGTGCAATAAAAACAACTTCTGCACTGTGCAAACAAAAGAATTTTCGCACGGTGAGATCACAAAAAATTTTGCACTGTGCGATAAAAACAACTTTTGCACCGTGCGATCACAAAAAATTTTGCACTGTGCGATAAAAACAACTTTTGCACCGTGCGATCACAAAATTTTTGCACTGTGCGATGAATAAATTTTTGCACCGTGCAATAGAAACAACTTTTGCACCGTGCAATCAAAGAAATTTTTGCACTGTGCAATAAAAACAACTTTTGCACCGTGCAATCAAAGCAATTTTTGCACCGTGCAATCACAAAATTTTTGCACCGTGCAATAAACTTTTTTTCAATTTCAAAAAAAATACAAATTCTCACCCAATAATCCGCCGCCTGAAGGATCAATGGCATCCGATTGTTGGGTTCCGGCCGCTCTATGGCCATTGTAAATGACTGCTGGGTTTTGCATTTGCGCTTAAAAACGGACCGAAACACCTGAAACGAGCTGAACGTTTCGCCGTCGATATCGATTACAATGTCGTCAACGAGGAAGAAGAATGAGCCAATCGAGTTTTCGTATATCTGAAATCATTTTAGACATCAAAATAAAAAAAAAATTTTAAAAAAAATTTAAAATTTAAAAAAAAATTTTTTAATTCCAAAAAAATTTCCAAAGATTCCACTCACATTAGCCACAACAAATTTTCCTTTCGTGTATTTGACTTTCAGTCCGGCCCTACACGCCGGTGGAACAATGACGTAGGCGACGAAACAGTTGGTGCTATTGGCGGCTCGTCGATAGCCAGCGGCTTTCGCTCGGTTCGCAGTCAACGGAAATTTGTAGGCAGGTCGAAGCACCGCAATTTCCAGCTGAAAAAATGATGTTTTTAGGGTCAAAAACCAAAGCTTTCGTGATACTCAGGGTTTTCGTGGTGGGACCCAAAAATAATGAAAAAACATCGGTATTTTACATTTTTTCAATAAAAATGCTCCATAGCCCTCGCTACATCCCATCAAAACCTAAATTTATCAGTTTTTTTAGTTCATTCAAGTTTTCGTGTCGGTACCCAAAAAATTTTTTTTGGCCAAAAATACCGCTCCGAAAAACCTACAGTTCCCATTTGATCGAGCAGTTCCTCCGCATCATCGAGCGTGTAAACCAGTTCCCCATTCACGGCCAACAGCTGATCCCCAATGATCAAGTGTTCACTGGCCAACGAGTTCAATCGAATGGCGCGGATCAACAAGTTCGGGCCCAATGTGATTCCATGGTGGTCTGACTGAAGGTAAAACACGTTTACTATTGTTTTTTTCTTGGTTTAGGAAACTTTTGCCAGTCTGGAAGACGAGAAAATGGATATTTTTTCAAATTTTTATACATTTCATACCTAAAATAAGGCGGAAAAGGTGCGAATCGATAGATAAACGAAAAATCGGAGGGTAAAATACGCAGTGCCTCATCCTTGGCCTTTTTATAACATGTAATGAAAGAAACTAAGAGTTTCTGCGATATTTTCGATATTATTTTAGTTCTGATATTACTTTAGACTAAAATAAGGTGGAAAATCGCAAAAAAGTGGGGGAAATTACAAAAAACCGATTGAAAATAATGCAAAATAGGTTTTTACTGCCTATACGTTTACTTCCGGATCTTGCAAGGTCTGAATTTTCAGGCTCTACCTAAAATAATGTCAGAATAGCGAAAAATTGCCGAAAATTGAATTTTTTTGCTAAATTTGGCTTGATAGTGGATGATTATGCGGCACACATTCTAAACTCACCGGCGAATGGCTGAGTTGGACGTTGACCACCCTGCAATGCGTTCGTTCGGCTAATTTCTCAAAAACGTTGGGCTGAGGGGCGGGCGCGGGCTCGGCGGCTTCCGAGTCGTCCATTTCGCGCCGAACGGCGACGTTGCCGCTGGGTTCCAGACCGGGCCGCAAGATTTTCAGTCCAAAAATAGTGCCTCAGAACGGGATGGACCGCACGAAAAGTAACAGACGCAATGGAATGCGGTCGGAGCCGCGAAAATTCCAAAAATACTCAAAATTATGCAAATTTCGGCAGGATTTTTGCATTGGAAACCCGTCGGAAGGCGAGATGCAGCGATTGAAGAGGTTTTCGTTGAGTTGAGGAGGTGATTTCGGACGGATATTGAGGATATGATGTTAAGTTAGGGCAAATGCTATGGCTGCGTGCAGGAAAACCATCGCCACTGCGTCGGCCTGAAAAATAATGGGTAGAATGAACAGCAAATGTCTTGAACAAAGTCTGGAAAGTATTTGAGAGCTTGTGGAGATGTATGAAATAGTAATATTTTAAGGGTAACCGTCAAATTTGCCAAAAATGATTTTTTGCGAAAAAATTGGTTTTTTTAAGACTAATAATTGAAAAATACGGGTCTTTTTCGGTTTAATTTATTGGACGATAGCCTATGCTTCTCAATGAGTCATGTGCTAACACTTTTTCAACCATCCTTTTCTCGAAAATACCGAAAATCTCAAAAAAAATCGAAAAGAGCGAGCTTTTTGGTGGAAAATGCGCTAAAAATTATTTTTAGTGCAAAACACGTAAGAAATTTTGACTGTAAATTATAACAGAGGTCATGACCTATAGCTGGGAACTAATTACAGTCAGTAAAACCTTTGAAACTTAAAAATTTGGACTTTTCAAAAATTCGCCAAAATTTTTTTGTGAAATTATGAAAAATGATAGTAAAGGTTACTGTAACACCTCCAATGGTATTCAGTTTTTGGCTAGAATTACACTAGAGTTCACAATGCATCATTTGGATATTATAAATCGCCAACTTACCGCGGCAAAAGTCCATTTTTCGCTCCAATAAATGTAAGAGTAGTCAAAACTATAGTGGATCTCGATCACCGCGCAAATCCCCGCCATTAGCGAGCAAAATACTGCGGTCGGCATTTCCTGAAAGTAAAACGTAAAATATGTGATCTGATTAATTGCCTTTTTTATCAAAATGAGAATTGCTAACCAAGCTATGAGTAAGAAATTAATACCATAAAAATTTTAAAAATAGACTTACCAAACAATTGTAATCCTGCATACACGGTGAATCCATGTAGCAGGAGTTTGATATGAGCCATGAAAGCGATAAAAGGAGTGTTAGGCATGCAACAAACATTGGGAAGATCTGAAAATTGGCACTTGTTTAGATAGACCACGTGTTTTTCGCACACTGACAAGAGAAGCTTCAAGCACAACATTCATTTAACATTTTTTTAATTTTCACACACCGCATACGCCATGCAGTGACGGACCTGATCTAGTGGCAAAAACATGCCATTTTGCGTCCGGGAAATATCAAAAAATGTGGCAAAATGCTTCCCTTTCCACGTGAAAAAACTTCGTTTTGAAAGGCACTTTCCCTCACAAAAAAGCGGGCTTTTGAAAGCGGAGTTTTTTTTCAGTTGGACAGGGAGGTATTTTGCTACATTTCTTGATACTTCCCGGATGCAAAATGATACGTTTTTTGCCACTGGATCAAGTCCGCAACTGTATGTCAATTCCTAAAAGTCCTCGCGCTTTCCGGGGAGTCTTTGCGACCGAGAGAGAACAAATTTGGGCCGTATCTTTTCTTGCGAGGAAAAAGCCGACTTCTTGTGAAAAGATTATTAACTACGGTAGGAATATTGACATGAAACTTTTTCGTGCCAAAATTCGCAAAAAAGTGCCAAATATGTGCCAAGTCGACCTAAAGATCGTTTCTGCAAAACGCGAGCTCTCTAAATTTGTGCCGAAATCGGAACTCCGCACTTTGAGCCACTTCCCCAGTGAGTTTCAAAGCCAGCAAAAAATTACCAATTAGTCTGGAAAATAATGTGGATTTGTCGCAGCAAAATTTTTCGCCTCGTCGCACCGACTCTCCAGCCGCGGCTGGTCATCGCAAAGCAATGATGCGAGATTTCAAAGCGCGACAACTCCACATTATTTTCCCGACAGATTGATGTGAAAATTGACTTGTTAGATTTTCAAACAAAAAACGGTACAATATCCAACGGCACAACAGTAAAAATGGTTGAAAAGAAGGTTAAGTCCGGAAATTTAGGGTTTGGTTTCCACCACAAAAGAGTTAATGGAATTGCGACAAAAAGGGTGTTGGTAAATTCCCGAAACGTCCTTACGGGACTTGCCTGCGCGTACTGTCGATTCTGCTCCGTCCATGTGATCGTGCAGTGCCCCAAGCGGCAGTAGATCCCGGCGAAGAAGAAAAGTAGAATTGATAAGAGCTGAAAATATGAAAGATTGGGGGGAAGAATGGGTAAATTCAAATCGGGATGATTCTTAGGGAGTTTTTATAAAAGATGAGAAATTTGGTTTTTGACGCTACAGTGATGGACCTGATCCAGTGGCAAAAAACGTACCATTTTGCATCCGGGAAGTATCAAAAAATTTAGCAAAATGCCTCCCTCTACAAGTGAAAAAACTCTGATTTCAAAAGCCCTTTCTCTCACAAAAAGAGCGAGCGCGTTTTTGAAACCGGAGTTTTTTCACTTGGAGGGGGAGGTATTTTGCTATATTTTTGATACTTCCCGGATGCAAAATGGCACGCTTTTTGCGACTGGACCAGGTCCGTCACTGTAGCTCCGGACTAGTATGTTCGAAAAATCGCCGAGGTGGTTTCGTCGACATGCGCTGTGAAAAAAGTCAAGATTCGACGGATAGTCCAAAAAGCCTGAGCGGTGCAAAAAGCAAAATATTACTAGCTCATCCGGAAAGTCGCCCGGCTGAAATCGGCGACACGCACTGTGAGAAAACAAAACTTTTCTTTTCATTATGCGATTTCTTGCTTTTTGCACCGTGCAGTAGGTTTTTTGGGCCGTCGCTCGAAAAAAAACCCCCAAAAAGGAAAAGAAAACTTACAATGGAAAGCCCGTAGAAGCTGAGGAGAATGACACGGCGCGCGTTGACTCTGTTGCGATGCAGGATCATGCCGGCTTCAACGGAACAAGTCATTAGTAACGGGCATACGGAGCACGCCGACATTAAATCGAAATAATTTCGGGATTTTTTTCAATTTCCAATCCAATCAATTTGCAGTGAAATAGGTTTCAAAACGTGTTTTTATAGCAGTTGCAATATTTCAACACGTCTTTGACTAGGAAAATCGGTGTTTTAAGCCGGCTCTAGCAGTGAATAGAGGATTGCAGTAGTGAATGGGGAATATTTAGAAGAAAAACACCATAAAATACGGCGAAAAGGAAGGGCAAAGCCCCGATTTATAATATCGCCTCGGGCCAAAAATCGCCACATGCCCCGAGGCGAAGGGGAAAATCGGAGCAGCTGTGCGGGCATGACATTCAAAAATGTGACAATGCTCGGCGAAACCCGAGATGTTTTCAACGTTTCGGTGTTGAATTCGCAAATGTAAAAAGTTCCAATTGTTGGGACGAATGGGGCAAAAAGTATCGAGAAGTATCACAAAATTGATCACGGAATTTGTAAAAAATGGATTTTATAAAAGTCGGGTTTGAGGGGCTAAAACCAATCGTATATTTTCGTTTTCGACCTTAAGAAAGGACTTGACAAATGACGGTAATCAAGTGGAAGCAATAAAAAAGTATGAAAAATAAATGATCAAAGTTTTTCAACAAATCCCTTAATAAAAACAATCTTGATTTTTGAAAGTTTAAAAACGTAAGAACGGCAAAAAGGCCGAAAAATTATAACAGTAAAATAATTATTACAGTGGCGGACAGGATCCAGTGGCAGAAAACGTACCATTTTGCATCCGCGAAGCATCAAAAATGTGAAAAACCCCGTTTTCAAGGCCTCGCCCTCACTGGAAGAACGGGCGCGCTTGAAATCGGAGTTTTTTCACTTGAAGAGGGAGGTATTTTGTTGTATTTTTGGTGCTTTCCGGATGCAAAATGCTACGTTTTTTGCCACTGAATCAGGTCCGCCACTATGGTATGCATGCCGAATGTCACCATAGTTTTTTCAATGGTTACCGGGAGGTCCGAAAAAATTAATGTTTTTTATGGGATCTGGACGGGTTTAGAGCAACCGATCGTGTGGATTTCAAATCCCCATAGGAAAACACTGTTTTAAAATTAAAAAATATTAAAAGAGTGGAACGTAAGGTTGATGGTCAAAGTGGAACGATTTATGATCGCTTCGGGCTGGAAGTCCGACTTTGAGTTAATCATTTTTTGCAAATGTCACTTTTTTTGGCTCTTCTGGAAATGATGAACCTGTCAAAACGCAAAGCCACCGGCTTTATATACTCCGCGTACAATGTTTTGACCCCCCTCCTAACTCGGCCCAAAGTGTACTAATTCGGACCAAATTTGGTATATAGTCTACTCACAGGCTAGTAACAAAAAATAACATGGCAGGATATACCTTATAGTTGAATTGCAAAATCCAGGAGCAATTTTCAAAAATCACCCTAAAAAATCGAGGAAAAAGTTTTGACCCCCCTTAAATAAAGTTAGATATCGCCAGCGGATATCGCCCAAACCTATCGTAATCGACGTCTCATACCTGAATACAGGTTAATAAATGGTTTTCCGTTGAATCCTTCGTTGCATTTGAGGACTCAACGCGTTAAACCGTTTTTGATGTAGAGCTGCCCAAAATGGTAAAAAACTTGCCCTAGCGCTTTCCTAGAGCTTTCAATTTCTTTTATATTATGTGGTTTAGACCTGTATTTACCTTCTCCTTTCGATAAAAGTGCATGGTGGCCTGGCGGTGTAGATCCGGCAGATACCCTCTTGTCATGCCCAGCCTTGGTGAGCCATTTGCTCTCTGAGTAAAGGGCTAGGTGTGGCCGTTAGGTCCTCAATGTAATCCTGAGACTCCTAGTTACTCTCAGTAATGTAAAATGTTTTGATTTGACACGTTTTGTAATGGGTTTCATTCAGCTTAATCTTGCGTTTGCCGTTACTGTAGATGCCCCCGAGGACGATCACATCCCCGCAGGCGATTTGGCGTTCGATACGTCTCAGACGTGTACGGCGGGTGCCGTAGCTTCTTAAATTACGTGGGCCATCTAATGCAAGCCATTTTTCGCCGGTAAAAATCAATTTGAAAAACTCGGGTTTCTGGTTAAGGTGCAGATCGGCAAAGTTGCGCCTGCAAACCATATGAGATCGTGTCAGTGGGAGTTTATTCTTTGTTTGAGAGTAAGTAAGAGTCTCATGATTACATTGAGAACTTAACGACCATATCTAGCCCCTCGGTCAGAGAGCTAATGAGTCGCCAAAGCTGGGCATGACAAGAGGGTATCTGCCGGATCTACACCGCCAGGTCACCATGCACTTTTATCGAAAGGAGAAGGTGAATACAGGTCTAAATCACATAATATAAATCCAATTTAGAGCTATTGGAAAGCTCTAGGGCAAGATTTTTACCATTTTGGGCAGCTCTGCATCAAAAACGGTTTAACGCGTTGAATCCTCAAATGCAACGAAGGATTCAACGGAAAACCGTTTATTAATCTATATTCAGGTATGAGACGTCGATTACGATAGGTTTGGGCGATATCCGCTGGCGATATCTAACTTTATTTAAGGGGGGTCAAAACTTTTTCCTCGATTTTTTAGGGTGATTTTTGAAAATTGCTCCTGGATTTTGCAATTCAACTATAAGGTATATCCTGCTACGTTAATTTTTGTTACTAGACTGTGAGTAGACTATATACCAAATTTGGTCCGGATTAGTACACTTTGGGCCGAGTTAGGAGGGGGGTCAAAACATTGTACGGGGAGTATAATAAGTTTCACACAAAACGTCCGCATCAAACCTGTCGGGAAAATAATGGGGACAATTTGTCTGTCCAATCGCGTCGCTGAATTGAAAAGCAATTTGATTTTGCCGCGACACATTTTTTTCTCGGCAGTGATGCGATTTTCGATGCGACAGAGTGCTCATTATTTTCCCGACATAAAGGTATCAGTTTGTCGGGAAAATAATGGGGACTCTGTCACGTAGAAAATGGCATCGCTACCGAGGAAATGACTTGTGTCGCCGCAAAATCAAATTGCTTTTTATTTCAGCGATCGGCGCAGCGAGATTGTGCTCATTATTTTCCCGACAGACTGATAGAACTTGATAGATATTACCTTTAGAAGACGTTGTTTTAAGTCTTCGGCAAATTTAAGAAAAATCAACGAGTCCTTCTTCAATAACTTTCCCTTGCGAATATGTCAAACTCTCTTTGCGAAATGACTGCTCTTTTTGGCATAAAAATATGTAGTTAATGAAAATTTAAAATCCAACTCGACCTTTTTGGGGTTTATTTTCGTTTTTTTTTTGTTTGCCCTTTCCCCTCCACTCAACAACGAGCAATATCGTCAACAATGACTTCATCAATACCGCAATACATTATCCCCCCCAAATTGAATAAAGACTTTGTGTCCCCCGAGGCGATTAAAGCTCTCCTAAAAGGCCCGGTTGAAACGGGGCCGAAAGGAGTGCGAAAAGGAATGGGGCCGACGACATGATTAGGCATGCAAAATAATATTCATCCGCAAGTCGGGCTGGGATTGTGGGAAAGCGGGTAAAATTTGGGGGGACGCTAGTCAGGCGCGGATTGGGGCCCGATAACGGATTGTTTGGGGGAAATGGCGGGATAAAAGGGTTTGCAGAGGGAACGGGGACAACAACGGAACAACAACAATGATTCAGACAGCCGTATTTTTTATCGGATATTAGTACTTTCATGATATTTGCATTTTCAGAAAGTGCATACACATTTTTCGCGGCCCGCACTGTGCACAAAAATCCCGGATTTTTTGCACTTTTTTTGCACTGTGCATTTGAAATATCGCTGATACGTAGGCTTTTCTCAACTGCGCCGCCGCGCTTTTGCTGAATAAACTGCACAGTGCAAACGGCTTTTTTGAGGTTTGCACGGTGCGAAATGGTAAAAAATGCACTGTGCGTTGGCGACAAGAACTCAAGACGCACTGTGCGGAAGAGATGACCACTACTGTGTGGCCTTGGATTACGGTCGAAATACTATCGCATTTTCAAGAGCCAAACGGACCACTTTATAAATAAAAATTTTGTTGTCGGCAAAGTAATGAGCACTCTGTCGAATCGAAAATCGCTTCACCGAGAAAATGAATTTGTCAAAATCAAATTGCTTTCCACTTCAGCGATATCACGCCAATTTGTTTTCGTCAAAAAAGTGGTTCGCGAGGTTTTCCGAGTTGCGCCCGAGGTAATTGGAATTGCGCACCGATAGTTATACGAATATTTGCTTTACCGTTTATTATGGAATATTTAAAATAAATACACATACATACACTTTTGAATATATAAAATTATGCCATACAACTCGGTCTGGAACAATTCGGTCAGTTTTTGGACGTCTTCTGAGCAGAATCTTGCTTTAGTCGGCTAGTGCAAATTAGGGGGCGATAAGAAAGTCCTTTTAGCTACAACTAGTCAAAAAGCTTTGGAACGAATCATAGATTCTATTTTCTATCAACATTTTAAACAAGGAGCTAGAAAATTAAGTTAAGACAGGAACTTATACTATTTTAGGTATCAAGTGTAATATAACGGCAAAACCAAGACAATTTTGAGGTAAATCACAAAGCTCTTGCTGTTATATATAACTAGAACGACCGATTAATCCAATAGAGTCAAGCCCCTAATCATAAATCCACTTTTACTTGCTTCCGCATGATTATTACCTAAAATAGGAAAAACGTAAAACAACTTAACTCTTCTATCCGAAATTGAAGTCGTAGTAAACACCTTACGTCTTTCCAACGTTCTGCGACGTTTTGCACGACCTTTCGGTGCCTTACTGCTTCTTTATCCTTGATTCTTCTGAAAAAAACCAAGTGTAACATCACGTAACTGACAGAATTTTTTTAATTTGATAGTAACTTTTCCCGATTTTTTTCCCAAAACATGCTCATATGTCTACTGAAGAATCCTACGCAGAAAAAATCCAGCTCCATCATTATTTACAGAAGATAACTTACTTTTACTGGGACCTCCTCGTTATCATTTGATGTCGTGCGTGA